GGGCAACTGTGGAGGTAGTCTCTGTTCCAGGTAGTTCTCAGTTTAAACGACCCCTGTAGTTCCCTTTGAACAACCTCTTCCCTTCTGTCCTTTTAGTTTATCCCTTAAGTTTTCTTTCTGCTCCTTCCCTTATGTGACCACACCAGTTCCTACACTTTTCATACTTGCTTTCTACTCATCCCAGCTTCCCACCTGCTATTTGTTGTCCCCTCTTCTTCCTCTTCCCCAGTGATCTGCTTGCTTCTCTGGTGACAGAGAGGTTGCCACATCACCCCAGCGGTGTGCCCAGTGGTCTGAAATGAAGTCCAACACACTTACGGTGGACCTTGCCATGCCTTGGCCAGCAGGCCAAGATACCTTTTCACTAGAAGAACAGAAATGAGCAGCCCACATATTTGGAGAGCTCTCCAGAGCTGGTTTGGACCCGGGAGCTTGGACTTGTTTGCACATCTGTCCATCTTAACTGCTCTGCTTGGGCTACCTGGATCAAAGGCTCACTCTTCCTCACTGAGCACTGCAAAGGCAGTTTGCAGGATGCAGTGAATGAAGGATGTGGTTAGATCTGCCTCATTTGCCTCCATTTAAGGGAATGTGGTGACAGCCCATCACCAATCTAGCTTTTTCCAGTTTTATAGACACATAATTACCTGCTTCAAGAAACCTGGGTTATTATTTGGCATCCCCTACTTTGCCGTGACTAGAAGTATGAATTATAAATCTGCTATGTATATGACATTAGGTGGCAGTCAGGCATTCTCCATGGCAGGGGTGAGGGGCAGAGCCAAAGCCTTGGGGCTGGGCTAGAAGACCACAGTGAGGTTGAAAAGTACTGCCTTCTCACAGCAATTGTTATGTGTTAGGCCTGCTTATACACTTAATGGTCTTAAATGCTTTTGCTCTCTGATAGCCAGGGGCTGGATAGTAGCCTTCTACAGTGAGTAACTGAGAAATAAGTAAAATTTTCACAAGCATGACTGATGTGAGCTCAGAAGCTGGTGTTCCTGCCTACCCATGACATTCGCCTCTCCCTGCCCACAGTCTTTTTGTGTGTCCCCTGCAAAGAGCCAGGGCTTTGTGACATTGCCCACTGGGCTGCTCTGCAAGTGACACCCAACAAGGTGGATAACTTGCTGCCCAGGAGCATCTCAGTACCCTGAAAAGGCACAAGCCCATATGCCACCACTTCCCTTTGGGTTTGTCTGCTGCAGGATGAATATCTTTCTCAGAGGATCTCAATTGCTGAAATCCATCCCCTCTGAGGAGCAGTTGTTTGGGTTGGATATCCCAAAAGTGTGCAGATGCAGATGAGAGTGGCAGAGGAGCACAGCTGACAGGCGCTGGCAGCAGAGTTGTGACCCACAGGAGCTGCTGCCAGCTCTATCCCTGCATAGCTACACTGTTGCCACCTCCCTGGAGAGCAGAAGTGCTACGTGCTTTCCAGGCGGTAGGGACACCATGGTTGTGGTGTTGGTATATTCTTAGTCGTGCAAAGGGTGGTTGTGAGTAATCAAGTCACTACATGCCTATTGTCCAGTGTATGATGTTCCAGGGACTTTCCTATCCCAGTGGAAATCCCAGTCACCCATGTGTGTGGAACTATTACTGACAGTTGCTGACTCATGGGTGCAGCACACCAATTGTCTCCAAAATATCTGGAAACCTCATTCATTTCCAGGAGATGAGGAAAAGAAGGAGACTAAGACTTAACTCCCAGTTGGCCTGTGACATACTGCACAGAGGTGCACATGAAGAAACCATGTCTTCTGAAATGCTTCACTGTGTCAGTCCCTTCCCTTCCCTTCCCTTCCCTTCCCTTCCCTTCCCTTCCCTTCCCTTCCCTTCCCGTGTGTGAGTGTGGTGTATGAATGCTGGATGATTTGGGGAGGTATTTTTCGGTAGGGGGATACAAGTAAGACTTCCCTTTGCTCCTGAATTGGTGGGTGAGAAGTGGGAGCAGGGCAGGATGCTCCCACAGACGGGTGCAGGAGGTGGCCAGGATGCAGGGGTTGAGGGGAGGGAGGGAGCTTTGGTGCTCTGGGAGAGCCGTGCCAGGCTGGGAACCGCTCTGAAACTGCTGACACAGGCAGAAGGGAGAAGCGGCAGCAGCGTGATCCCCGGCACGGCATCGCACACGGGCCAGCGGGAGGAGGCATGTAGCCTTGGGACAGCGGAGGTCACGGTTTCTCCCTCCTAGGTCAAAACTGGCAAGCCGGCTGGTGAGATTGATCCACACGCCTGCCCGCTTGGAAACTTGTGAGCACCTGGGTGGCAGCGGCTGGGGATGTGGCCGGTGGCCCGCGCTGTCCTTGGGACTGGCCGGGGACAAGCAGCCCGTCACCCAGCAGGGCTCTGCTG